AAATAAGTATTTTTTTATCAGGTTACATATTATTAATCACTCGAACCTTTATCTAAAACTCTCCGTCGGTCATGCAAATCCATCATGTTTGTTGTTTTTCAATACTTTTATTTGTGTTTGTAGTTCTATCCAAATCCTCATCCATCGTGCAATGGGTTGTGGGTAATATTAGCCATCAGAGTGTGCAAGGATCTACACTCCGAATTTCATAAACCATTGGAATACTGCTGGGATACCCACTGCATACTTTGATTTGGGACACACTAATTCTAATTTCAAATAGGATGGATAGCATGCAAATTGGGATGTGGCAAATGCGACAAAGATTGCGACAGCACATGTATAAATCATTTATAATAAACACTGCAATATTCCATTCATAAATTCAATTTTGATTTCATGGTGACTTTAAGCTAAATACCCACCACTAACATAAACATGCTCAAGCAATTTTGTTTGTGTCTTAGCAGTGTGCAGTGCACCTGGATAACAACACAAGAGGAGAATCATTACTGCTCATTGCTCAAACAAGGGGCACAGAATTAAGGACAGAAAACAAACAAATAGATGCAAAGACATGCTGCACATCTCCATTCTTATTGTTTCTCTGCTCTAAGTTAGTGCTGGGTCATAGTAAGACACTAATTAAAAATACAAACAAAGGGCTCTGGAAACCTGGGCTTCTGTGGGTGAATATCATATGGAATGTAAACATCTGTTTTCTTTTCCTCAATCCACCTGAAATCTGTCCAACATCTGTCCACAGTGACACTGAATGTACCCATGACTTCTAGTGACAAATACCCGAGACGTTTAGCTCCTTAAACGTCTATATTTATAAAATCTATAGAAAAATATTCCAAAGAAATCCAGTTTGACAAACAGCATAACAGGAGATTTGCCTCGGGTCTTCATGAATACATGGATTTAGAATACGAAAACAGATTCAACTATTTCCCCCTTTTTAAAGAAACATTTTTATGAAATTCTAAAATAGCTCAAATATATTTAAGCTGTTGACGTTTCATTAGGCTACGGGCATGTTTTATGCGCCACGCTTTTCTATTGTTTGCCTGCCATTGTGAAGACATCTGCACGAGACTGAAGTTTACGATTAATAGGCTATATAATTATGCATTTCCCAATACACATTCCAAAACACTTTCGTTTCCTATTGAGTATCAACGAAACCGACCTCTCTGTACTTCCTTTGCCAGAGTAGCCGGACAGAGCAAGAAATAATTGTCAGCATATGAAACAACTTTTAGTTCATCAATGTATCGACTCTTTCTATCAAAACTATAAGCCCTCGCAGGCCAATCTGAACCCCGTGCTTTCCTGCGGAATGAGTCCGCTTTTTAAAAGCGTTTATGGGCTGATTCATTTCCCTTTTACCGCATAACTGTCTGCGAACTTGTAGCTGCACGCATTTGTAATGGGCTTCAGCTGTCAACCAAAATAACCCCACATCCCAGCGCGTGAAATGAGCTCTCTTACCTGGCGGGTTAATAGCTGCTCTTATCGCTTATTTCGGATGTAAACTGCACATTTAGTAGTTGAACAGAGGCTGGCTCTTTACACTCTGATTATAATCGCGTGATTCACTTTTGGATGAAAAGGCGTGGAGTAAGACTAGAGCTCTGAAAGCTGTAACAGTGGGTTTCCTTCTAAGTAGATTTTTTTTTCTTTAAATATGCACAAAAAAAAAACATCAACACTCGCTTGGAAACGTTGACTTTCACCTCATTGTAACTTTATTTAAAGGGGAGTTGCTTTATTTTCATGGGTTTACTTATGAATGTCCGTTTAAATACAAAAAATGCGCTTTCAAAGTTGTTATTGTGTGACAGAACAGTTCATTAATAATGGCAGGCTAGTTAAGTTTTCAGGAGCTCGCGAGTGTTCAATTCATCATAAACCAATAATCAATCCTCTTATCTTTACCTACACTTTTAGGGGGTGAAAGACAGTGCCTCCACCTAGTGGATACTGGACAGGCACACAGATGGTTGTCAAGATCATGACTATTTATAGTCTTAGTATAGGCTACAGTAGTTTCAAAGGCTTTCTTATAATTGCTGGGAAAGAACGAAAGAAAGAAAGAAACTTATCTTACCATGGTGATCTCATGTCAGCCTGTTGTTCCAAAATCCTCAATACATTATGTGGAAACTGAGAAACTGGTAATAATAAAAAGTGACTTCTCTTAACTTTTTCCTTTAAAAAAAACTATTTTCATGACATTTACATGCATAAATCTTACTAGATGCAGCAGTCGAGATCATTAGATTGCTGACAGAGGGAGTATCGCCATACATCCATTTGAAAGTGAAAGCAAATGAGTAAAAATCATGATGCTTCATGAATACATTTCACAGGTTTCTCTTATATACACTGTAAAAAAAAATCCGTAAAATTTATGGTAAAAAACCGGCAGCTGTGGTTGCCGAAATTTTACCGTAAAAAATATGGTAGCAACGTTTTAGGTTTTACGGTTTTACCTTAAATTTACAGTTAAATATCATAATTTCATTAACTGATATAATGTTAATATACCAACCTATTGAAGTACTGAAATCTGTTTTGTACCTTTGTAATACACTGATAACCACCAAATGCAGGAGGTGATGAGAACTTCACATGATGAACCAAAGCCCATCACAGGCAGCTTTTAAATAATAACATAATAACATAGGTGCACAGTGTCATTCACACAAACACCAAACACCATCACGGTAACACACATGAAACTGAAATAACGCAATAAACATTCATTTAACAACATTAGGTGTAACACACAACCCTAATATACCAAACTGATAAGAGAAAACTAAGAAGAAACATAGTTATTTCGACAAAAAAACATCGAATTTGAAATGTAACGCAGGGAATTCTGGGAACGTCGATTTACGGTTATTCACTGTAAATTATACAGTCTTTTTCACTTCGAAAAAACGGTATACTACCGTAAAATTAATGTCCAATACATGTAATGTCCAATACAGTTTTTCACCGTATATAGCCTAGTAGGGGAATTTACCATTAACCATTTAACAGGTTTTTACTGTAGCATTTTTACAGTCTTTTACCATTAAATTCACGGTCATTTTTTTTACAGAGCTGAACTCAAAGACCTGCATATGACAGTGAGCAAGACACACAAACTCTTATTTCACTGAGTGTGTAGAGCTCCTGAGTGACAGATTTAAAACATCTGATTCCCATTTTGAGAAAGGGAATTTTGAATGATGTTTTCAGACATGAATATCAAAGTTTCACATGCTGTATTGGTTGTCAAGATCAATATTCTGATGTAAAAACACTGGACAACCACTGCTTTAATACAACTTTGATATTAACAGGTTAATTTAATCCTGGTCTTTTGACATATTGCAGTGCATTCATTTATTCTTTCCTTGTGAAAAGGTCAGTATAATTTGGGGTTTGTTTGTTTAGCAAGGATGCATTAAATTAATTATTAGTTTAATTAGTTATTTCTTGAGCACAAGATCAGCAGAATAATTTCTGAAGGATCATGTGATACTCGCTGCATTTACATACAACCAAATAATCCGTTTGTAATCGGATCGACGGCTCAATCGGACCGAAAAGCCTTCATGTAAACACCTTAATCGATCCGATTGAGCTCGATCCGATTGAAGGTGGTGGTTTATTCCTTTTCTAATACGATTGAGAGTGCATGTAAACACTTGATCGGATTGTACCCTGAAACTGAAAGGACTGCGCATGTGCAATGACGCGTAATGACATATCCATAATTATCCATAAATGGATAAATATTAATTCTGCTGTTAAAAACAAATAAAGAAACCATGTAGGAGAGTGGTTATTATGTGGAAACAGTGAGAAACTCTATATTTGAGCAGTGTGCGCATGTCAAAAAAAAATCTATTCCGATTTGAAGCTTGTGACATATAAACACGCACATCAACCCGATCACTTTCTTTAGTTTGTGTAAACACTACATTCAGATTCATCAATCAGAATTAACTCAGTCCGACTGAACCAAAAATTGTGCATGTAAACGTAATGTGATACTGAAAAATCAGCTTTGCCATTACAGGAATAAATTACATTTTAAAATATATTCAATATATAAAAAAATAGTTATTTTGAATTGTAATATTTCACAATATTACTATTTTTACTGAATTTTTTTTATCAAATAAACAGATTTTGTGAGCATTAAGAATTCCAAAAGCATTTTTTTTTTAAACAGTATAGTGTTTTCCTCATATTATGGTGTGAGTTTTAACACTGAGTTCAAATACCCCAGAAGAAATCTCAAGGGGTTTAAATGCAGCAGTAGTCCACTACAGTCGGCTCGCTGGATGATGCTGATAAGGTGTTTGGTGCTGAGATCTCTCCTAATGCCAGTGTGGGTCCTGATGAGAACCTTCCTCCTGCCCTGCCATGATAACTGGATGCTCCTGTCCCTGATCAAATCTGTTTGCTTTGCAGCAGGAATGTCCTTCAGGCTATATGACACACAGTCTTACACACTCATTCTGCCAAGAGTTTATGTATGTGTGCTGCAGAGTGTACCTGGAAAGAGAAGCATTTTTTATTTATTTATTTTATTTACCCCTTTGACCACATTTGATGTCAATAATGTATTAATTCAACACCAAGTAGTAGTAGTGCTGTAGACAAAAAAGGTTGGGAAACACTAATAATAAATATAATATAATAAGGTCTAAAATGATTTGAATCCTTATGAGACAAGCAAACACATTAACAACCTGAAATGGCTTTCTTTGCTCTTACTGTTTTCAGAATTACACGAAACAGGAAGACAGGCAGGAAGTGATAAAGTGTTTCATCTACGTAATCAAGGCGGTGTAATTCGTGAAGGACTGACACTAAAAAGTCTTAAAATAAATACGTAGGATTATTTAAAAGTAAATGTGGGACATCTGGAAAAGCCAAAGGGTGAGGTGTAAGGTTGTGTGAGATTTCCAGTGTGTGGTCAACAAGTTCAGAGGTTGGGTGGTCTTACAGTGGAGCAGCTGTCACACTGTCTTTTACCATGACGAGATCAGGTGCCTTCAAACTCAGCATTGTCTTCTTTCTCGCCTTCATCCTGTGTCTACCAGAGTTTTTTCCAGGTAAGTAAAAAAAAACAGAGTAAGATGGCTTGGGGTCTTCAAGCGTGAGGGAGGGAAATGTGGCAGTAGTGTGGGTTTGTGTGAGCACGTGCGATTCAGAGCAAAGATGGTTAAATGTTTCTATGATTGACAGCATGAAACTTCAGTGTTGTCCATGTCTTTTAGAGGTACACAATGAGGCATGTGCATTGTTACCTTCTGTATGGCTTTGTTCCAACAATATTAAAGTTTAAAACTGGATAAATCCCTCTGTCACAGGTGACTACATCATTGTGGTCTGGACATGGTATGGTAAGGGGTGTTAAAAACCACTTGAGAGAGAGTGTGTGTGTGAGTGTGTGTGTGTGTGTGTGTGTGTGTGTGTGTGTGTGTGTGTGTGTGTGTGTGTTGGATTCTGTGCACGAACACGCACATAGCCTATACATACCAATATATATATATATATATATGCGTTTCCATGGTTTTAGACTGTCTATGAGCAAATTACTCATTCATCCTCATTCTGTCCTTTTAAAACAAGGTTGGTGTGTTGTAAAACAGGAAATGTCACTCTAACTTACCAACAGTAACAGAAAAGAGAAAACAGGAAGAACATCGCAAAATATTAAATACAGTTTTAAATGTGTGATAATGGGGTCAGATGATAGAGGAAGTAGCACAATTAGCAAATGATAATAACTTTAAATTTTTGCTGTAATCTATTAAAACCTGTTATTTTAGTGTTTAGTGTCTGTGTAAATGATGTTGGATGATAGATAGGTCAATGATCTATTAAAGTGCCCCTATTATGGGTAATGAAAGGTTCATATTTTGGTTTTGGGAGTCCCCAACAACAGGT